CATCTTCCCTCTCCAGCCTCTACCTGTAATTTTTGAAGGACCCTCCTTACTGTTTTCCACAGTGGCTACGCCAGTTTGCATTCCCATAAACAGTGCACAAGGCTTCCCTTTTCTCCACATCCTCCCTAACACTTGTTACCTCTTGTTTTCTTGATGATAGCCATTCTAACAGGTGTGAGGTGACACATCATTGTGGTTTTGATTTGCATTTCCCCTGATGATGGTGACACTGAGCATGTCTTCATGCACCTACACGCCATATGTATGTCTTTGCAAAAATGCCTATTTAGTTCCTCTGTCCTTTTTTAATTGAATTGATCATTATTTGCTATTGAGTTATATGAGTTCTTTATATATTTTGGATATTTATCAAATATATGATTTGCAAATATTTTCTCTCATTCGGTGGGTTGCCTTTACGTATTGTTGATGGTTTCTTTTGCTAGGCAGAAGCTTTTTAGTTTGATGTAGTCTCACTTGCTCGTTTTGTCTTTCATTGCCTTTGCTTTTGGGGTCAAATCCAAAAAAGTATTGCCAAGACTGATGTAAAGGAGCTTACTCCCTATGGTACTCTAGGATTTCAAGCCTCTTAGATTCACTGAGACTCATTTTATGGCCTACTGGTTATATTTAGGAGAACGTTCTTTGTGTACCTGAAAAGAATGCATATTCTATTTCGTTGGGTAAAGTGCTCTAGTGTTAGGTCTAGTTGGTTTATCTGTGGGTCACATCTTCTGTTTCTGTTTTGACCTTCTGATTAGCTGTGGTACGTGTTGTTCAACGTGGACATTGAAGTCTACAGCTTGTTGTTGAATTGTCTATTTCTCCTTGACGTCTGTTATTTTTTGCTTCCTGTGTTTTGGGGCTCAATTGTGAAGTTCATGTGTGTTTATAATTATTACATTTTCAAATTCACTGAATCATTGTTCTAGCCATTCAAATCTATTGTTGAGCCCCACTAGTCAAATTTTCATTTGTTATTATATTTTTCAGCTGCAGAATTTCTATTTTGTTGTTTAAAAAAGCAATTTCTGTATTCTTATTGACACACTGACAGCAGCAAATCAAGGCCTAGAAAGGCAGAAAGGGAACCAGTATCCAGATTCACTACACCATGTTACCTACAATGCCCAGTTTTTAACAACAGCTGTAAGATGTACAACGAAACAGGAAGGTGTGACCCATATACTGGAAAAACTCAGGCCACAGGAATTGCCTGGCAGAGGCCCTGGATATTAAATTAGAAGACAGGGCTTCCAAGCAGGAATTCTATGTTGAAAGAACTAGAGGAAATCACACTTAGAGAAGTAAAAAAGGCTACAGAGACAATATCCCATCACCATTGATTCAAAAATGGCATTTGACAAACCTGACACCCTTTCATAATAAAACCCCTCAACAAACTAGAAATGGAAAGAAATGCCCATAACTCAGTGAAGGGCGTCTGTGAAAACTCCCACCATTGGTACCATACTTGATGAAAGACTGAGTGCTTTGCCCCAGTGATCAGAGATAAGACAAGGATATCTGCTCTGGTCGCTTCACTGCAACTTTGTGCAGGGGGTTTGCGTGTTTGGCTGGACTCTCCTGGTGAAGTCTGCTTCCCCTGCAGGGTGAAACCTCTGGTGTCTGTCCTCAGAGGATGCAGCCTGGGCCTGCACAGTCCCAGGAGGTGACAGTTGTCTTAGCCCCACTCTGTGCGTCTTTCTCTAACCACTCTGTCTGTTCATACTATACCCAGCGGTTAAACCTACTGACCGCCAGCTGATTCCTCCCAGGATACTGCTCTCTTGCTGGAAGGCTGAGGGGATAGGGAGTCCCAGCTTCTTGGCCATACCTGCCAGAATGCAGTTCTTACTACTATTTAGTAGACTTTTTGTTTTTTTGAAATAGTCTTTCTTCATTTGCTGAATGATCTTAGAACAACTTTAAGATACTTTAATATATTTTTAAAAATATATACGTTGCACCAGTACTGGCTGTCCCACCAGTACTAGGTCTGTAGAGTTCCTCCAGGGCATATGGAAGCCTGTCCTAGTTTTGGGTCAAACTCTGGCCACATTGCCAACCCTCCCCTTCTTCCTTCCTGCTGGCTGCCTGGAGTTTGCCTCGTTTTGTCTTCCACTTGTGGTGTCTTATTATAGTTAAATGAAACACCATCAAAAGGGAGCCAGGCAGCAGTTACCACCGTCTTACAGACAGCCGTCTTTATCCTGAGTCCCGCTGTCCTACTAATTGCAGATATGGTGAACTTGCAGAGGGTGAGAGAGATGCTGGCCTCTCCCTGTATTTCCAAAGAGTCATTTATATTCTTTAACAGCTTGGACATGAGTCATTTCAGTGCAACTTTCACGTTCTATTTCTTCCTGATAAATAAATAATAGTCAAAAATAATAAGGCTGCTCAGCTGTTTGTTAGCTATTTATGTTTGAGTGAAAATTTTTTAAAACTTGGGGGGACCTGGGTGGCTCATTTGCTTGAGCATCGGACTCCTGGTTTCAGTCCAGGTCATGATCTCACTGTTTTTGAATTCAAGCCCTGCATCGGGCTCTGTGCTGGCAAGGAGTGTGTTTGGGATCCTCTCTCTCCCTCTTTATCTGTCCTTCCCCTCTTCACTCTCTCTCTCTCTCAAAATTAGTAAATAAACTTTAATCAATCAATCAATCAATCAATCAATGAACAAACAACCAGTAGAAAAATTGGTCAAAATTTTGGAAGGTAGCAGCACCCGTGTGCACCTGTTCTAATAAAGAGCAGAACTGACTTGTTCAGCCCACGTCAGGGTCAAAAGATCTAGCTGCTGCGCTTGCTTTGAACGGGCCCTGGTGGGAGATTCCCAGGAAGACGTCCACCTCATCCTCAGGCCAGCACCAGCCTGGGGAGAGATGGAAAAAGTATCCTGTGCAGAGGCCAGTGAGATCTCCATGGTGGGGTTCCTCCTTGGCCCCGCCTTCCTGCCCCAGTCCCTTTTGAGCACAAGAGCAGCCACAAATGAGAAGACATGAACCTGTGACCTTGCCTTTGTGGCCTGATGAGGAAGACAGACTCGGGAGAGGTGAGGCAGGAAATTGCTGGGGCTGAAGTAAGATGTATGTTTTTCTGTGCATGAGTGAATTTACGAGAAGTCACCCTGTTGGCCATTTCTTGAAAATGCAAGGGACTGTGGGAAACAATAACAGAAAAAACTGTGCTGTGATATGGTGCCATAAATATAACAGTCTTTCCTTTATCCCTCCTTAAAGATTTACTTACCGTGTTTATCATTTGTAATAAAGCACTCGAGATACTCCACAAAGATGTGAGTGAAGCAATAAAAGATGTCAAGTTGAAACCAAAAGAGAGAAACGAAGGTAACAGCAGAAACCATGCCAACTTTGTTCTAAATCCCAGAGAGGGCAGATCACTGAAGGCTGTTGGCTGGTCCTGGCAGCCTGTGAGTTCTTTCCCTGACCCCCATTTTCCCAAGCCGCCTCTTCCACCATTGGTACCGAGGAATGGCTAAGAATCCAGGGGACATCCAAACAAAGGCTGTGGGGTTTGGAGGCGTGGGACTGGAAAGTCTAGGCGGATGAGTGAGGAAGGATGCTGTGTGTGTGGAGAGTAGCAGAGAACTCGGGGTGAAACATGCCTGTGCCTTTGCTTCTTATGTTCATGGCTGTTGGTGCTGGCTGGTAAATAAAGGTGATGTCCATAACCATCTGTAAGTGTCCATTACTCTGATGGCCCAGGGACACCAAAGCCCTGGGGAAAGAAGGCCCATACTCATATTCACACCTGGGTCCTCCAGCCAGGAGTCCTGGGACTGGGCCCTCCTCAGGGTCTCCCTTTGGGGACCACAGGCCCCTGTTCCACCTGGAGATTTATACCTACAGCCAACCAACACCTGAGAAGTTGTGTGGGTACATGGGCCCAGGCTCATGAATCATGCCAGGGGGGAGAGTCTTGGGATTCGTCCTCAATGGGAGAGGCCCAGATAGTCTCGCATGATGCTATTCTGTAGAGGGCATTGAATTGAGACAATCTAGGACTTCTTATCCGTAAAGATACTGGGGCACATGGGGACTGTGGTTTTTTGGGGTCTGTTTGTGTTTGGGTTTTCTCCAAGCC